TTAAGTCCATTGATATTAATGGATATTAATGACCAGTGATTGTTAATTCCTGTAATCTTTTGGTGGTAGTGTGTGTGTATTTCTCTTCTTTGGGATTTACTGCTGTGGTGTTAGCTATTGTTTGTGTTTTTGTGGGTGTATCTGACTTCCTTAGGTTGGAATTTTCCTTCTAGTGCTTTCTGTAGGCCTGGATTTGTGAATAGGTATTGTTTAAATCTGGTTTTGTCTTGGAATGTCTTGTTCACTCTGTCTATGGTGATTGAAAGTTTTGCTGGGTATATTAGTCTGTGCTGGCATCCATGGTCTCTTAGTGTCTGCATTACATCTGTCCAGGCTTTCTGGCTTTCAAAGTATCCACTGAGAAGTCGGGTGTTGTTCTGATGGGTCTGCCTTTATAGGTCACTTGGCCTTTTTCCTTTGCTGCTCTTAATATTCTTTCTTTATTCTGTATGTTTATTGGTTTAATTATTATGTGGCAAGGGGACATTTGGGGGGGTCTAGTCTATTTGGTGTTCTATAAGCTTCTTGTATCTTCATAGATATTTCCTTCTTTAAGTTGGGAAAGTTTTCTTCTATGATTTTGTTGAATATATTTTCTGTGCCTTTGAGTTGGTATTCTCCTTCTTCTATCTCTATTATTCTTAGATTTGGACTTTTCATGGTGTCCCAGATTTCCTGGACATTTTGTGTCATGACTTTTTTGGCTTTGGTGTTTTCTTTGACTGATGAATCTATTTCCTCTCTTGTATCCTCTACACTAGAGATTCTCTCTTCCATCTCTTGTATTTTATTGGTTATGCTTGCATCTGTGTTTCCTGTTCATTTACTCAGATTTTCTATTTTCAGCACTCCCTCTGTTTGTATCTTCTTCATTGTTTCTATTTCAATTTTCAGATCTTGAACTGTTTCCTTCACATGTTTAATTGCTTTTTCATGGTTTTCTTGGCTTTCTTTAAGGGATTTATTGATTTCTTCCAATTTTTGTCTGTCTTTTCCTCAATTTCTTTATTGACTTCTTCCAATTATTTGTTTGTCTTTTCCTCAATTTCTTTAAGGGAATTTTTAATTTTTTCTTTAAGACCTCTAGCATCTTCATGAAGCTATTTTTAAGGTCAATTTTTGCTGCTTCTTCTACGTTGTGATGTTCAAGTCTTGCTGTTGGAGGAGGGCTAGGTTCTGGTGATGCCATATTGCTCCTTATGTTGTTGTATGTATTTTTGCATTGATGTCTGCCCATCTCTTCCTCTAATAGGTGCAAGAGGTGCCTGTGTTCTTATTTATTGTCTTGATTTCAATTTTCAAATATTGAACTGTTTCCTTCATCTGATTAATTACTTTTTCTTAGCTTTCTTTGACTTATTCCAGTTTTTTGTTTGTTTTTTTTTCTTCCATTTCTTTAAGGGAATTTTTAATTTCCTCTTTAAGGGAGTTTTTCATTTCCTCTTTAAGGGCATCTATCATCTTTTTTTTTTTTTTTCCGAGACAGGGTTTCTGTGTGTAGCTTTGTGCCTTTCCTGGAACTCACTTGGTAGCCCAGGCTGGCCTCGAACTCACAGAGATCCGCCTGCCTCTGCCTCCTGAGTCCTGGGATTAAGGGCGTGGGTCTATCATCTTCTTAAAGTCATTTTTAGGACTGATTTCTTCTGTTTCTTCTGTCTTGGTATGTTCAGGTCTTGTAGGTGTAGAGTCACTGGGTTCTGATGTTGTCATATAGGTCTTTATGTTGTTGCCTGTGTTTTCGCACTGGCGTCTACTCATCTCTTCCTCTGCTCGGTGCAGGCAGTGTCTGTGTCTGAAGGTGCCTCTCTTGTTCTAATTGTTAGTCTTGGTCCAGTAGGAGTTCTTGGTCGAATCGGTGCTGTTGGGCTCTGTTTCTCCGGGAGCAGCTTAGTTCAATCAGTGTTAGTGGGTTCTGTCTCAGGGAGCAGTTGTTCCCAATTCGTGCAGGTCAACTCCTCAGCTGACCTTATTTCCTCAGACTGAAGGCTGCAGGCTTCTGAAACCTCTCCTGAATGGATCCCAGCTGAACAGGTTGATCAGTAGGGCAATCTCACCAACACCTCCAAGTTGTTGGGCTTTGCAGCATCAGCAGCTGGGCCCTGGGTTGGCCTCGGGCAGTGTGTTCGGGTCCGTTCTGGTCACATCCCACGGAGACGGCTCCTTCCCCAAGTACTGAGACTTATTATTATGAACACTCAGTCTTATCTTATGCTTGTCCCACTAGCTCTTATAATTAAATTAACTCATTTCTATTCATCTACATGTTGCCCAGTGACTCACGGCTTTTACCTCTCCTCCTGCATGTCTTGTTTCCTCTGTGTCAGGCTGGCAACTTGCCCTTTCTTCTTCCCAGAGCTCTCTCTGTCCAGAAGTCTTGCCTATACCTCCAGCCTACCTAATTGGCCATTTAGCTCTTTATTAAACCAGTCACAGTGACACATCTTCACACATCATAAAGGAATATTCCACAACATGGCATAGCACTGGAGCCGCAGCTGAGCACTTATGTCTTAATCCATAAGCATGAAAACAGAGAGCAAACCGGGAATGGCACGTGCTTTTGAAACCTCAGAGCTCACCCCCAGTGACACACCTCTTCCAACAAGACCACACCTCCTAATCCTGCCCAAACAGTTCCACCAACTGGGGATGACATATTCAAACATGAGACTTTGGGGGCTATTCTCATTCAAACCACTACAGCCCACTCTGGGCCTTCTGAGTCGGCAGCTAGTGGCCTCTGGATTGGGGCCCAATAAAGCTGTGTTAAGAGCACTGTCTCAGATGTTCAGGCACAGCTAAGACAATTGCTGTGGCCATGCTCATGGGTGGGTGCATGTGTGTACATCTGTCATGTGGAGGATGTCTTCTTTCTGAGAACTCTATCAAGGATCCTGGCTGTGGAAGGCATCCTGGCCCTTAGCTCCCTACCCCTAATGCAGAAGTTCATCCTTAGCCATGCTTACCTTTATCACAGTCCCCACAGCTCCTTTCCCCAAGCAAGAGCATCAGCATAGCCCTGGCTGCCATATTACATGGTTTCTTATCTATTCTCAGGTGGCTCTTCTGTAGAACATCACAATATTCCTGATCCTTCATAATGGAAACCTCCTTAGGCTTCACCACACTTCATGCTCCCTCCAGCCTCCTCTCAGGGCTCCTCTTCCTCTTTCTGCTTGGTGAGCTTCCTCGGGGTCTCATAATTTTTTTTTTTTTTTTTTTGAGACAGGGTTTCTCTGTGTAGTTTTGGTGCCTGTCCTGGAACTCGCTCTGTAGACCAGGCTGGCCTTGAACTCACAGAGATCTGCCTGGCTCTGCCTCCTGAGTGCTGGGACTAAAGGTGTGTGCCACCCCCACCCCCCAGCAGATCCCATAATTCTTAACTTTTGCTCTTGTAGCCTGCCATCCTTGAGTCTTTCCTCATCCACCCCCTAGGCCTTCAACTAAAATTTAATTAAGCCAAGGGCAATCATGACGCAGGCAGGTTTTGCCCTTTCTCCTTTCCTCTGCCTTGCTAAACCATTAGATTACATTCCTAAAGCTAGCCCCAAGGTCCGTTCCCTTATTTGGCCACTGACTAATTCCTGAGACTGATCACTAAGGTCTAACTATCAAAACACCAAGGTCCAGCAATCAAAATTCATTATTTTGACTAACCTAATTAAAATGCCCAATCAGAACTTACATTTGTCTTAGCTCTTCTAACACAGACCTCCCCCTTTTCTCTCTTAAAATTAACAGCTATTTGCCACAGTTTCTGCCCAATTCAGTTTCAGTCAACATATTTCTTTGCCTTGCTTAATAAAGAATCTCTTTATGTTTGGTTTGTGTTTGGAAATTGGTGTTTGGGTGTGGTCTGTGCCTAATCCCGGGTCCAGAGGGGAGCACCCTGCAGTACATGGGTCCTTCGATCTTCAGCTCCCAAGAGCAGACTTTCCTGAACTCTCTCATCCCTCAAAGCCCAATGTGGTGGGTATACCTTATACTCTGGAGGAGTAGCCCTTAGCCTAGGTTACCCCTAGTGGGCCAGCATGATCAATCAGATCTACAGCAAAGAAAACATCTGGTTCCTAAAGCATAAAAAGATTTGGCCAGGTGAAGTGGTGCACAGCTGTAATCCAACATTCAGGAAGCTGGAGCAGGACAGACCTCAAGTTGTAGGTGCTCTAGTTTGCTTTCTGTTGCTGTGACAAACACCATGACCAAAAACAATTTATTTGTCTTACACTTCTAGGTCACAGTCCATCATTGAAGGAAGTCAGAGCAGGAGCTCAAGGCAGGATCATGCTCAGCTAGCTTTCTTATATAGCCTAGGTCCATCTACCTATGGATCATACTACCCATCGTGGGCTGAACCCTCTCACCCATCAATCACACCAGTCCCCCACAGACATGTTTTGATAGTTGGACCTTAGTGATCAGTCTCAGGAATTAGTCAGTGGCCAAATAAGGGAACGGACCTTGGGGCTAGCTTTAGGAATGTTATCTAATGGTTTAGTAAGGCAGAGGAAAGGAGAACGGGCAGGACCTGCCTGCGTCATGATTGCCGTGCTCCGGCCTGCTAGATCTGGGCAATCCTGCCATTTAGTCTCCCTCACATGATTCTAAGCAGTGTCAGGTTGACAGCTGAAGCTAATTAAGACATGAGGCAACGCTTTATCAAAACTAACAAAAGCGACCTCAGAATAAATAAGAGAAACTGAGTAGCATACAAAGAACAAGGTAGAGCTAAAAAGCCAATTGATGACTTTGTAACTATGAGTAACCGGGGGTCAGAGATATTGTTAGGAAATCTCTGAGATGTGACTGACAGCTGACTTGCTCATTGTTGAATTTAATTTTTTGTTTGTTTGTTTTTGTTTTCGAGACAGGGTTTCTCCATGTAGTTTTGGTGTCTGTCCTGGAACTCACTCTGTAGACCAGGCTGGCTTCGAACTCACAGAGATCTGCCTGGCTCTGCCCCCCCCCCCGGGTGCTGGGATTAAAGGCATGAGCCACCACTGCCCGGCTGAATTTAATTTTTTTATCCTGTCCAATTACTACCAAAAGCATATTGGCGCTTCTGCCCCAGGGACAGGTAACAAAGTAACAAAGTTCAAATGGAGAAGACAAAAAGTAACGAAGTGGGAAACAGTAATCTCTCCTGGAAAGAGACAGGAGTTAAGTGTGAGGATTCTGCATGGGAATCAGCAGCCAAGGGAAGCAGACCCCAAATCTTGCCCTAGAGTTCTCTAATATTCTGTGCTGTGAACAGCAATTCCCTCTTTACTGCCTCAGATCGACAAGAGGTCTTGACATGCGGCTTCCAGCACAGGCCAGGTACCCCAAGGGGTCCAGTCATCATGTGGGGCTGTGGGGAGAGGGTATGAAGGCTGGTACAAGCTGTGTGGAGAAGCATGGGCCAATTCCTTGCTCTGGCCTCCCCACCCTCAATACTCATTTCTTTTCCCGGCAGGTCATCTCATGAAGAGGTGGAACATGATACTGCTCACTACTCAATACACGCGTGAATAGACGGTTCAGCAGAACGTGACTGTAGCTGCCCCGCACAACGCGAACCCCGATTCACAGGATGTAGGGAAGAACATTTTGCGGGAGATCGGAGCCCGGCATCCGCAATCTCCACATCAGCGCTTGAATTGGCGTCTCCAAATCCAGTCTCCTTGGCCGGAAGTTCGTATGGGAGGGACAGGTAATACCGCCGGGTGGACGGACCCGTGACCGGTTCCCAGAAGATCGGACAAGTCCAGGAGGGAGAAGATTTCTCTCTGCGTCCGGGCGGGCTTTTTGGGATAGCCCGCCGGCGCCAGCTGCGCTTCTCCCTGTCCCCCGCCCAGCGGAGAAGGCGGGCTAGCCACGAGCGATAAGCCAATAGACAATCAGCGTTTGAATTTGCGTCCTGGAGAAGCCAATCACAAGGGCCCAGAGTCTGCGGGGCGGGAGAGGCTGGCGACCCGGGGGGCGTAACTCCGTGGTCCTACCAGTAGGAGCTCCGGGCGCGTTTGAAAACGGGGCGGGGTGGGGTCCGCGCCTGCGTACGGCGCTCGGCGCACTTGCCCCAGGCGCGGGCGCGCTCGCGAGCGGTCTGGAGCGGCAGTGGCGTGAGCTCGGCGATGGGGAGCGGCGGTGGTGAGTGCTGGCGGGAGCCGGGCAGGCGATGGGTCCTGACTCGGGCCCCTCTGACCCGGGAGGGCGCGTCGTATTCCCCCAAAGCAGGGAGTAGGCACGGATCCCCCACTGTGAGCCCGCCGGCGCGGTTTAAATGCCCGCCCGGCGCCTACGCCTCCTGTTACCCCAGGGCGATTTAGGTTCTCTGCCCAGCAAACTCGATTTCACTTTTCTGTGAAATCAAGAGCGATCCCCACAACATAGGTCGATTTCACGTCTTGTCCAGGCTCTTGCGCGCAGTTCGATCACCTGGGTGTCGCGCCCGTAGCTTGGATCCGCGGAGGCAACAGGATCTGTCCTGTGATAAACGTCTCACGACCTGGGGGTGCGATTTCACTTGTTACAGTGGTTAAACACTTCAGATGTGTATTCTAGAGCAGGTGAATCAGGAAACTGTTATAATAATATTCGTAGAATATTTGGGAATTATAGCTCTGGGTATGCGTTTGGCTTTTGCAGTACATTTCGTTTCCGATAAAACTCAGGTCAAGAGTTTGAGAGTGGGCAGTCTCTAAAGACCTCCAGGTGGGGAGCTTTACCAAGGCCCGGGAAACAGCCACTTTACCTCAGTGTGAGGAGGAAAAATGGGTAGAAAGACGGACGCATTTATAGACAGGGATGCAGGACCTTAAGATTCCTAAAGGGGAGGGAGGCTTGTGAAATAAAGAGAAAAGCCATCAGCGCTGGATGAAGATTGGATTGCTGAAATAAACATTGGAATAACTCACTGTGAGGAATTGGGTAGAGAGAGCCTCGAAGAGCATGACTGGGTCCAGGGGCTGTGCATCTAGACCAGCGGTCCTCAACATGTGTGTCGCGACCCCTTTGGAGGCAAACGATCCTTTCACAGGAGTTGCAGATCAGATACTTACATTACGATCATAACAGTAGCAAAATTGCAGTTATGAAGTAGCAACGAAATAATTTTATTTTATGAAGAACTGCATTAAAGGGTCACAGCGTTAGGAAGGTTGAGAACCGCTGAGCTGGATCTTATGTTGCAATTTTCACTGTAAGCTGAGTGTAGCAAACCCCTGGGTTCGGGGACTGGGCAACACTGACATCTGCCAAGCCGAGACCTGCTCTAGGACTGACTGGCTTCTATGTTCTAAGAGCTGCCTCATTAATTTGAGTTCCTGATCTATGCTATTGAAGTTCCTAGGTCCATACTGAACGTTATGCCTTTTAGTCACATGTGCAAATATAAGCAAAGTAGGCTGGGCATGGTGACTAACACTTGTAATTCAGTATTTGGTAGGTAGAGGCAGGGAGGATCAGGAGTTCAAGGGCAGCCTCAACTATATGAGTGAATTTGAGGTCAGCCTGGGCTACAGAGGAACAAACAAGAAGCAAAAATATACAGCAAAAGTCCAAGGGACCCTGTTGACTGGTTTGAGCCTTGCATTAACTGCTGAGCCATTTCTCAGGCCCCCAAAGTACTTGGTTGAGTTTTCACTCAAACGTTCATCAGTATTGGCTGTTTTCCCCTCCTTCTGGTTGTCATGTGGATCCTGAATCAGAAAGTTTCCAATATTCAATTACATGCTATCTGATATTCACCATGAGTTATTGGTGAATATTGAAGGATATTGAAGGAACGGTGGTATCTTAAGTAATCCATAGAGGACACTTCATTTAATTTTAGGACTTGTTCTTTCTGTGAAGAAAGGACAGTAACTATTAAATCATCTTTACGTACGTACAACTTTTCATCTCACCAAGGTTTGTGGATTTTTTTCCTTAAGTGATCCATTGTAGGTGTGCCAAGTGTTTCTGCTATCCTACCAAGCGAAGAATCAAAAGAAGACCCCGTAACTTAACCATCTTGAGTCTCCCAGAAGATGTACTCTTTCATATCCTGAAATGGCTTTCTGTTGGGGACATCCTTGCTGTCCGAGCTGTAAGTCACCATATGGAAACAATACTAGCCCGAATATTGTTGGTTAAACTATAACAGTCTCACATTCTTAAATGTTAGTATAAAACTTTGACTCAAAAGGAAACCCAAGGAAAAGAGTGGTTTTATTTTTATTTTTTATTTTTTTTTGGTTTTTCGAGACAGGGTTTCTCTCTGTGTAGCTTTGCGCCTTCCTGTAACTCACTTGGTAGTCCAGGCTGGCTCTGCCTCCCGAGTGCTGGGATTAAAGGCATGCGCCACCACCGCCCTGCTGAGTGGTTTTATTTTTTAAAGGTTTGGTTTTTGATTTTACGTATAGGGGCATTTTGCCTGCATATCTGTGTAGCATGAGTCTTAAAAGTTCTCGCCGGATCCTCAGCTGGTCTTGTCTCCTCAGACTGGAGGCCTCTGAGTCCTCATCCAGAATGGGTCTCTGCTGAATTGCTGCTCAAAAGCCTGAATGCTTAACCAGCTAAAAGCTTAACCAGCCAAATGCTTCTAGTTTCTGGTCCTCATGCCTTATATACCTTTCTGCCTTCTACCACCACTCCCTGGGATTAAAGGCTCGCTTTCTGGGCAAACCAAAAAAAGGCATGATGAGTCACCATGCCTGGCTCTATCCTTGAACACATGGATTTACTACCACTGCCTATCCTTTATGTTTAATATTGTGGCTGCTCTGTCTCTGACCCCAGATAAGTTTATTAGCATGCACAATATTTGGGGGAATACAATACCACATATCTGTCTGCACCACGCGCCTGCAGAGGCCAGGAGAGGGCATCTGATCCCCTGGGAGTTATAGAGGGTGATCAGCTAGCTGCCTGTGGGTGCTGGGAATTGAACCCCAGGTCCTCTGGAACAGGGAGTGCTTTTAACTGCTGAGATAGCTCTCCAGCCCCAAGAGTAGTTTTATTAATTGGTTGGTTGAAATAGAGTCTCAAGTAGTTAAGACTACTCTTGAAATCTCCTGATCCTCCAACCTCTACCTCTAGAATGTTGAGGTTACCTATAAGTACCACTTTACCCAGCTCTTCCTGGGGAAGTGACAGTGTCTCACTTAGCTCAGGATGGTCACAAAGTACCTGTGTAGCCAAGAATGACCTTGAACCCCTGATCCTCCTGTTTGTACCTCTCTGGTAGGATTACAGGCCTTCAGCATCGTGCCTATCAAAAAAGGGTAATATTAGGCCAGGCAGTGGTGGCGCACACCTTTGATCCTAGCACTTGGGAGGCAGAGGCAGGCAGCCTCTGTGAGTTCGAGGCCAGCCTGGTCTACAGAGCTAGTTTCAGGACAGCCCTGTCTCGGAAAAAAAAAAAAGAACAAAAAGGTGGTCTTGTTAATAGGTGTTTGAAGATGATTCAGTTATAGGGACTACATCCTGGGATTTGACTTGACTCATTGCAATGTTTATTTCAAGAGAAAAAAGACCCTTTTTTTTTTGGTTTTTCGAGACAGGGTTTCTCTGTGTAGCTTTGTGCCTTTCCTGGATCTCGCTCTGTAGACCAGGCTGGCCTCGAACTCACAAAGATCCACCTGCCTCTGCCTCTGCTGGGATTAAAGGCGTACGCCACCACCACCCGGCTAAAAGACCCTTTTCTGGCAGTAAAATTTGCATCTCGAGAAGACAGTGGGCTGTAGAGGGGGCTCAGCAGTTAAGGGCACTGCCCATTTTTTCAGAAGACCAGGGTTCAGTTTCCAGAACCCACATAGAGGCTAATAGCCATATAACTGCAGTTCCAGGGGATCTAATACTTCTTCTGATCTCCTCAGGCACACATACATGCAGGTAAAATACCCATATACATAAAATAAAACCAAAAATTTCAAAAAGAAAAAAAAAGATTATGAACTGGACATGGTGATTCATACCTGTAACCCCAGCAACAGAATAAACCAACTCCTGAAAGTTGTCCCGAGATTTCCACACACATGTCCATACCACATGCACACATATGCCATATACATAATAAATAAAACTAAACAAATAGGAGTAAGATAGTGTTAATAAGAATTTTTAAATGGCGGAAATAGAGCTGAGCATGGTGGTGCACGCCTTTAATCTCAGCACTTGGAGACAGAAGGATCTCAGTTGGTTTGAGGCTAGCCTAGTCTACACAGCAAGTTCTAGGACAGACAGGACTATATAGAGAGACCTGTCTCTAAAAGCCGGGGTGGGGGCTCCAGCAAAAATTTGTTTAGGGCCCTTTCAGGGTTTTGTTTTGTTTTGTTTAGAAATTCTGTCTTAAGACAAAATTTAGCAATTTAAATACCAATTAAATGTGTGTGTATGTGTGTGTGTGTGTGTGTGTGTGTGTGTGTGTATACATATGTAATTTTATTTTATGTATCTATTTTGCTGGCATGTCTGTATATGTACCACATGTATAGCTCCTGCCCGAGGAGGTCTCATTGAGACCTCTGGAACTTGAGTTAGGAGAGACTTTGAACCACCATATCGGTGCTGAGAACTGAACCCAGGTCCTCTGCTAGAGAAGCAAGTGCTCTTAACCACTGAGCCACCTCTCCTGTCCCTTCATTTAGGGATTTTTGTTTTATAAAACTGGACTCAGTAACCTCAAGACCATTTTTCTGTTGTTTTGTTTTGTCTTTTTTCAAGACAGGGTTTTATTGGTGAAATTATTAAGGCCATTCCACATAGTTAAAAGGAAGATTTATTTAGTGGGTAACTTACAAAAAAGGGAAGGGTAGGTCGTGGGGTCCTGGGAAGGTGTATTGCAGTCCAGCGGTGTTCTCTGGAGCTCTGCTCGGTCAACCTCCACCGTCTAGGGTCCAGGAACAGAGAGAGCCCGCTGGCCCATCCAGATCTCGGGTCTTCCGGCGCTTCCCTTGGCCCTGCCTTGTAAGTGTGACAGTTGCCGAAGCCTCAATGGGGGTTGGAACTTCCAGATCAAAGCTGGAATGGCTACCCACTACAAGGTTTCTCTGTGTAGCCCTGGCTGTCCTGGAACTCACTCTGTAGATCAGGCTGTTGTCAAACTCACAGAGATCCAAGTACCTCTGCCTCCCAAGTGCTGGCATTAAAGGAGTGCACCACCACTGCCCAGCTTCCGGAGCAATTTTAAAAACCAAATATTCCAAGACTACAATCCAAAGAGATACTCGTTTGATAATTATATGCTGAGGAAATGGTATTAGGTAACTATGAAAAGTCTTTGTGTATCAGAATCCAATGGTTATATTTCTATCAGAGCAGAAAACTGCACAAGGTATTTCAGGCAGCATGTATTGGCAATAGCCTACATGATAAACCTGCAAGTGTTGTGTGTTCAGAACCAATTCTGCAGTGAAGTCATGTGATACCACATGTCAGAAACACCGCAGTTCAATTAAATTTTGGTTTTTGCATGTTCAGAAATTTTGAATATTGCAAGTTTTTTGCACCTCTATGTTCAGTTATATGACCCACAATTCAAGTTGTGCTCTAGGCAAGATAGTGAGACTACTTAAAAAAAAAAAAGGCTAAATAAAACAAACAAAAAGCCCTTTAAGACAAATCCCATGTAACCTGCAATGGGGAGAGTGGACTTGAGTTACTTTGTAGCCATAGCTTCACGTTAAATGATTCACCCTAGAGTATACAGTAAACTGGCTGTAAACACCAGCCAGGAGGCCATTGTAGGACTCCTCTACTCACGTTCACTGTTGGCATAATACCTACAGAAGCACGGGTGCTAAATTCCCAACTGCAGTGGAAATGTTAGGATGTAAAATGCTTGCCTGTGCTGCTCTTGACTTGGCTTTATCTGCCTGGGATAGAGGCTCTCAGGACTCAGTCTTTTTCCTTTGAGTTCCTATAACTTCCATGCCCCAGACTGCTCCACCACCAGGGTACCAGGCAGAGAAATAAAAGACAAATTTATGTTTTTCTTTCTTTCTTCTTTTTTTGTTTTTTTGTTTTTTGTTTTTTTTGTTTTTTTGAGACAAGGTTTCTCTGTGTAACCCTGGCTGTCCTGGATCTCACTCTGTAAACCAGGCAGGCCTGAACTCAGAGACCTGCCTGTCTCTACCTCCTGAGTGCTGGGATTAAATACGTGGCGCCACCTCCCAGCACAAGACAGATTTCTGTCCTGCCTGGCACCAACCTGTTTCTCTAGTTCTTTGCGAAAGTGTCTTTCCTTCTTGCCCTCCGTCCCTCCCTTTGACAGTCACCATACTGTGTCCCTTGGCTGGCCTGGAACTCACGAAGATGTACCTGTGCTTGCCTCCTGAGTGCTGAGATTACAGGTGTACACTAGCATGCTGAGTTCTTCTTTTTCTTTGGACTGGTGCCGACATTCTTCCCCCGCCTCAGAACATCAGAGAAGCTCACTTCTGGCCTCTCCTCCCTATGGAGAACAGTGCTGTTTTCATACATAGAAACTGGGTTCTTTACCCTTCTGAGACTGTGTCTGTGTATGTCCCATCTTCAGGAGCAGGGATCTGGGGAGTCCCTTGGTGATTCACACACGGCTCTCATTGCTCTGCAGGTTCACTCCCACCTGAAGTACCTGGTGGACAACCATGCCAGTGTGTGGGCATCTGCCAGCTTCCAAGAGCTGTGGCCTTCTCCGAAGAACCTGAAGCTCTTTGAAAGGTATCCTGGTGCTCTGAGAAGTGCCTTGATTTCCCTCTGCTGTTGGTATTCTTGGTGTGCTGGCTAATGTCCCCATACCTGAGTCTCAGGACTTGTTTTCCTGTTGCTCTCATCCCGGGGAAGAGACCCCAGACTGAAGAAACCTGTCTCTCGGGTCACACTGCTTCCAGCAAGCCATGTCATTGCCTGTCCTCTGTGCCTGAGCTGCTTCCAGAGGGTCCTGCCTGACTCGGGTGTGAGTCACCTGCTCATGGAAGCCTTACTCAGCTTTCTTTTCCTTTCCTGTTATATTTCAGTCACTGGATGACTCACCCCCTCACTCTAGTCGTGACTGAGAGAAAGGACTGGGGGTGGGGGAGGCAGCAAGCCTAGGTCTGTGACCCCGGGTGCCAGTGACCAGGCCCGCTAATGGAGGTTAAAGACAGAGCATGTCCTTGGGACAGGGGTCTAAGCTTGAGCCTTTTCACATCTGAGAAACTAACTCAGGACAGGATTTTCCTCATGAGCATTTATTTCCCAGGCTTGAGCTGCCAGAGAAGTGCAGGAAGAGAACTCCGGTTACAGTATGCCATGCTTGGGTTGCTGCTGGATAAAATTTGTGTATTTCTTTTTTTTTTTAAAGATTTATTTATTTGGGGACTGGAGAGATGACTCAGCAGTTAAGAGCAGTGCCTGTTCTAATCGAGGACCCAGGTTCAATTCCCAGCACCCACATGACAGCTCACAACTGTCTGTAACTCCGGTTCCCAGGGACCCAACACCCTCATGCAGATATACATGCAAGCAAAACACCAATGCACATAAATCAATTTTTTAAGAGTTTGTTTATTTTTTTTTTTAAATTTTATTTTATTTTACAATACCATTCAGTTCTACATAACAGCCACAGATTCCCTTGTTCTCCCCCCTTCCTGCCCCCCTCCCCTTCCCCCCAGCCTACCCGAGTTTGTTTATTTTTATGCATGTGTGTGTGAGGGCTTGCATGTGTATATTTGTACTATCTGTGTGCAGTGCCCACAGATGCCAGAAGAGGGGGCTGGATGCCCTGGAATTGGAGTTACGGGTGGAACTTGTTGGGTTTTAATGTACTCACAGTTCTACAAACTTAGCACTGTTCACCTTAGGTTATTTTTTTCATCTTACAAAGAAATGGTGTACTCGTTAGCAGGCAATGTCTCCCCACTCCCCACCCCCTACTCCCCAACCACGGAAGCACTAGGCAATCCATTATCTATTTTCTGTTCCTGGGTTTGCTAATTGTAGACATCTCTTGTAAACAGAATCATGGGATACTTGACCTTTTGTGATTGGCATAGGGTTGTGTTCATCCACATTGTAGCATGCAATCAATAAACAGTATTTGATTATATTTCATGAAAAAAATATTCAATTAGGAAATAAGTATTTCAGCATCAAGTGTTGTGGTGGTACATAATCTTTGTGACCTAAAATAGTGTGGTATTTATGCTCTTATTGCCCCAGGGCTGCTGAAAAGGGAAATTTTGAAGCTGCTGTGAAGTTGGGAATCGCCTACCTCTATAATGAAGGCTGTAAGTCCCTGGGCCCTGACGTGTGGTGGCGGCATTTGAGATAAGCACAAGCCTCTTTCAAGATTTAGCAGCTTAAAGCCGGGCGTTGGTGGCGCACGCCTTTAATCCCAGCACTCGGGAGGCAGAGCCAGGCGGATCTCTGTGAGTTCGAGGCCAGCCTGGGCTACCAAGTGAGCTCCAGGAAAGGCGCAAAGCTACACAGAGAAACCCTGTCTCGAAAAACCAAAAAAAAAAAAAAAAAAAAAAAGATTTAGCAGCTTAGTTCTTGCTGATGGTCGACCCCATGTCTGCCCTTGACAGTTTGACATAGGTTCTAGAAAGTCACCTCTTTCCCTCGTTTGGGTCAGCAAGGGGTATCTCCAGGTGCCCTGCCTTCAGTACGGGTAACACCAAGGCCTATGAAGGGTTGTAAACAGCGTCTTTCCTTGGCCATCCTGTGGAGCTTGGAAAGAAATCAGCATGCCTCATTCTGCAGGGGATCACTGACACAGGCAGCCGTGGTTACATGTGGCAGGCAGCGGAGCTTTCCTGGAGCCTGAGTCCTTTTGCCCAAGGCTAGCTGCTCCTTAAAAGGCTTTTGGCTTGCTCCTCTGCTCAGCACCAGAGGAAGGAGCCTCGGCTGTGCTGTCCCAGTCTCCAAAATGTGTAACGTTTAGAGTATAGAATCACCTTTTCCTACATCTTAAAGCTCTGGTGTCTTGCTGGTAGTCCCTGTCCTTGGCCAGCTAACAGGACTGTTAGGACTGAGAGCCTGTGAGTAACCTGCTCTTCCTGAGGTTGAACTGAGGTTCTGCCCTTCCCCTCCTATCAGTTAGCCATTCCCAGAGGTCATTCATCTGCCTACAGTGTGCAAGTTCATGGTTGGTGGTGGTTTGTTTTGTTTGTTTTTGTATTTTCCTAGGGTTGTGTAACCATTGCTGATCTCATTTTAGAACAGTCTCGTCCTTAAGAGAACCTTTTCCCTTCCAGGACAGCCAGAGCTGTTACACAGAGAAACTCTGTCTCAAAAAAACCGAACCTTTTCCCAGCCTGGTCCACATGATGAGTTCTAGGACAGTTCTACACAGAGAAACCATATATTGAGAGAGAGGGGGGGGGGGAGCCCTTCCTTGCAGCCATTTGCAGGGAGGGTCATTTCCCTCCAGGAGGAAGGTTGAGGCTGTGTGTTGGAGCACCATCCCCTAAGGGTCACAATCCAGGCTTCCTGAAGGACTCCAGGAGGGCCTGTGTACCAAGGATTACCTGAACAAAGCGGGGAGAGTTTGGAGCCCTATCCCACAGAGCTCTTCTGTTTAAAGCTTTGCACTGTGTCAGGCTTTGCTAAAAGACTGGAGATCTTTGCTCTTTCCATGCTCCAGAGACATCACGGGTTTGTCCTGTTTCTCCCACAGTGTCTGTGTCAGACGAGGCCTGTGCTGAAGTGAACGGCCTGAAGGCCTCTCGCTTCTTCAGTATGGCTGAGAAGTTGAATATGGGTTCTGAGCCCTTCATCTGGCTCTTCATCCGCCCACCATGGTCAGCATCTGGAAGTTGCTGCAAGGCCGTGGTCCACGACAGCCTCAGGGCAGAGTGCCAATTACAAAGAGTAAGTCCTGGCAAAGCCCAAGGGCAGGGGGTCCCAGAGCAAAGGGAAACCTGAAGTGGGTTCCGTGGGCCATGTAAAGACAAGTGGAGGGACACACAGCCGAGTGCAGGGCTGGGACCTCAGCTCAGAGGTAGAGCTTCCGCCGAGCATGCTGGACCTACTTCCAAGGAGATGCCTCGAACGGAGGCGGTGGACGGGCTTAGGGTCTGGGATGGGGACCAAGATCTTGGTGAACATGTTGGTGGGTGGGAACTAAAGATTTAGGCTGAATAAAACATGTATAGCTGAAAACTGAAATCAGGGAGTGGTGGCGTAGGGGTCTGGACAGCAGGACAGGGGAGAGTTCTGTCTGCTGAGAATCATACTTACCTTTTTTTTTTCTTTTAAGACTCATAAAGCTTCCATACTACACTGCTTGGGAAGAGTGCTAAATCTTTTTGAGGTAAGTTAAGTTTTTCTCTCTGCTCAGGCTTTGCCTTACTTCACCTTTCAGTGGCCTGGATCCACAAGGTACTTGAAAAGCTGCAAAAGGGAATGTCCAAGGTCAATACAAACACCAGGCCCTGCCCTGAGTGGTCCTTGGCATAGAGCTCCTGGCTCCCCCCACGCTGCTTTTGAGGGAGGTTGAATGGGGCCTCGTAAATAAGAGCCCAGAGAGTAGACGACCAGGAACTGGGCGGCCAGTGCTGCTCCGACCCTCACATGGCTCTCCTGTTGGTGGGCCTTGCAGAATTCTTGCCTCTTGAGGTTTTTAATGGGCTTTGTGATCTGTGGGCCCCTTTTGCGGGGTTAGTAGCTTCCAGTGAACACATCAAAAGCGTGTGGAAGACAAGTGAGGCAGATGAACACTGAGAGTCTCCTGTGGCAGCAAGGGTGAGTGCAGGCTTTGTATCCCGGAGCTGCCCCCACACTAATGGGCACGCAGAGCCCCGAGGCCCCGAGGCCATACAACATAGGTTAGTTGCTGAGCACTGTATGCTCAGTGGCATCCTTTCTTGCTCAGATGTAGTTAATCCATCCGCTGTCGCTCTGAATGTGATTGCTTAGAGGTATAGAAACGGAAGAGGACAGCTCTCAGAATGATTTGGCATTGTGCCGAAGGTGAGAAAGAACCCTCTTTGCAGAGCTGGAGAGATGGCTCAAAGGTTAAGAGCACTGCTTACTCTTCCAAAGGTCCTGAGTTCAATTCCCAGCAACCACATGGTGGCTCACAACCATGTGTAATGAGATCTGGCGCCCTCTTCTGGCCTTCAGGGATACATGCAGGCAGAATACTATATACATAATAAATAAATAAATCCTTTAAAAAAAAAAAAAGAACCCTCTGTGCTTGGTCTTACTCTAGGACGAAGAGAAAAGGAAGCAGGCTCACACCCTTTTTGAAGAGTCCGCTCATCAGGGATGCCTGGCCAGCTCATACCTCCTTTGGGAAAGTGAGAGAAAGATGGACGTAAGTGGAGCCTCGTCTATTGGGGGATAGACCTCATAGGAGCAGTTTTGTGTGATCCTGGGATGAAATTTGGTTAACAAAAGGGAGGATGCTTTCTCGGCTCCTGGGCTCTCAGGCCTTTGGGTTCATCTGAGCATCGAGCTGTGTACTATCAAATGTCCCCCAAAGACTACCATTATTGGGGGTAAATGTTGGGGAAGCCAGTGAAGTTGAAGAATGAGGGTGAAAACGTTTAGGAAGCCGTGGGGCAGGTCTGTGTCCCTCACAGGACACAGCCACCTAAGGGTGACTCTCTTGTTGGCAGATGTCTGATCCTGGACGATACCTCCACAACTTCCGGAAACTCAGGGACTATGCTGCCAAAGGCTGCTGGGAAGCACAGGTGACGTGGAGATCTGGATTCTTCCTTTCAGCATCGGGGTGGGACCATCTAGATTCTCAGCAGCAGACTTAGGAAAGCAATACGGAAGATTGGTCCAGGACTAGAGCTGAGTCTTTTGTTCTGCTTTAATTATTTATTTATGTGTGTGTGTGCTTGTCTGTATGTGTTCCATGTATATGCAATGCCTGTGGAGACCAGAAAAGGGCATTGGATCTCCTGGAATTGAAGTTACAGGCAGTTGTGAGCCACCTGATGTGGGTGCTGGGAGTTGAACCTGGGTCCTCTGTCAGATCAGTAAGCGCTCTTAAACCTCGGCACCATCTCTTCAGCCCTGTAGCTGGACTCTTCAAGTTTAGCTCTTGAGTGTTTAGGAAGACCCCAGCCATGCTTTGTTTATTGTTATCCATCTCCACCCTTGCTTGTTTTTGGTTTTTTCGAGACAGGGTTTCTCTGTGTAGTTTTTGTACCTGTCTTGGATTTCACTCTGTCGACCAGGCTGGCCTTGAACTCCCAGAGATCCGCCTGGCTCTGTCTCCCTAGTGCTGGGACCAAAGGGGTGCGCTGCCACCCCCTGGCTCACCCTTGCCTGTTGACCAGCTAGTCTCTTCATTCTAAATGCTGCTGTCACAGTTCCTGCCACACTCTTTGTGGAGGTTGTTCTGTAGGTCACGTTTATTGTGAGAACAAATGTTAGGCCACCTAAGAGGAGGAGAGGGTGTGGAGTTCCTGTTAGCACCTGGCCTCACTCATCCAGCCAGATATTCCAGAATTTATAACTTGCCCTCAGCAGACCCTGCCCTGCCGACTGTAGAGAGCCTGCCGGCTAGGCCTTGATTTCATTGAACAGTGTTGGGAGAGGGGGCTGTTTGAGAGCAAGACAAAGAACTTCATAGCTTGCCATGAAGGAGGAAGCTTGTTCTTACTGCCCCACTGCATGGATGATAGATATCCAACAACTGAAATGCTAGGAAAGAGATTATAAGTCAACAGATAGAACAGCCTGCGCTTTGTCATAACATTGTATTCATGTCTAAAATGATTGTCAAAGATTTATAAAAAAAAAAAAATTTCATAGTAAAATGACTCATCATTTGCTATCAAACCCAAGGACCGGAGTTTGATCTCTAGTGGACGTGGCTGTCCCAAAAGCCGTCCTCTGACTGCTACATGCACACCATAGCACATGTGCACAGACAGACACACACACACACACACACACACGCACACACACACGCACACGCACACACGCACACGCACACACGCACACACGCACACTGGAGCTGATCCAGAAGCCATGGAGGAGTGCTGCTTACTGGCTTGCTTCCCATGGCTTCTTCACTCTGCTCTAAGAACCCAGAACCACTAGCCCAGGGATGGCATCATCCACAGTGGGCTGGGCCCTCCCCCATCAATCACTAATTAAGAAAATGCCCCAGAGCAGTAGTTCTCAACCTGTGGGGCAACCTCTTTGGCAAACCTCTATATCCAAAAATATTTACATTGTGATTCATAACAGTAGCAAAATTACAGTTATGAAGTAGCAACAAAAATAACTTTATGGTTGTGAGTCACCACAGCATGAGAATTGTGTTAAACGGTCACAGCATTAGGAAGGTTGAGAACCACTGCCCTGGTTGGCTTGTCTATGGCCTGATCTTTTTTTTTTTTTAAGTTTATTTATTTATTTATTTTGGTTTTCCGAGACAGGGTTTCTTTGTGTAGCTTTGCGCCTTTCCTGGATCTCGCTTTGTAGACCAGGCTGGCCTCGAACTCACAGAGATCCACCTGCCTCTGTCTCCCGAGTGCTGGGATTAAAGGCGTGCACCACCGCCATGCCTATGGCCTCATCTTATGGAGGCATTTTCTTAATTGAGGTTCTCAGATGACTTTAGCTTGTGTCAAGCTGACATGAAACTATCCAGCACACATACATGTAATATACACAACAAATAATAATTTAATAAATTTTAAGAGACCCAGTATAATTAGAGTAGTAAGGTCCTGAGAGATGTTCAGACAGCTTCAGATTCTCAGAAAAGAAGGAAAAATACAGCAGGTTAAAAAGGGGGCTTAAGCCTCGTTCTCGAGAGACTGAGGCAGGAGGGTTATAAATTTGGAGATATTTGGGGCTTGTCTCATTAATGTGTTATATTTAATTTTTTTCTCAGTTTTTGAGTCAATAGCTAGTAATGCATGCAAGGTTGGTTGGTTTGTTTGTTTTTTATGATGTATATGGGTGTTTTGCCTGCGTGTATTTCCTTGTGTCTTCTTGGTCTTTGAAAAGGCCAGAAGAGGGTGTCAGATACCCTGGAACTAGAGTTACAGTTCTGAGCCACAATGTGGGGGCTGGGAATTGAATCTGGGTCCCCTGAAAAAGCAGCCAGTGCTCTTCTCTACTTAGCAAACCTAAGATAATTTTAATGATGGTGGTTTCTGCCAATGAAGGTAAAATCAATGAGATATTTGCTATGAGTGATATGAAGTCAGCAATCAGCGTGGGCCTTTGGGAGGGTACTTGAATAAGTATAGACAAAACCCCACAGCTGTTCTGTGAACTCAGCAGGTAGGGAATTGGGTGGGCCACAATACAGTCAACAGAAACACTCTAAATGGAAGAACAGGTAAGGACGCCTATGTCAGATAACTTGGAAAAACTAACAGTATTGATAGGTGGAAAAAAGAAAGATGCATATAAACTGTGGTCATAAATACATATATATACACCAGGCTATAATTACCTGGGAAAACAGATAGAAATGTGTCACAGTTGTCGACAGTGGCCATCTGGAGTCGTTGTAGGTGCTAGGCAGTGTATCCTAAGTTCTGACACATCTCAGTCCGTCCTCATCTGTTGACTCCAGCACCATCAATGTACCATTTCATTAAAGAGGAAATTGCTGGGGCTGGAGAGATGCTCTCCAAGAGGACCTTGGTTGTTTCCCAGTACCCCCTCAAAAATCACCTACTCCAGTTCTAGGGGATCTGACACTTTCTGGCCTCCTTGGGCACCAGGCATGCACATGGAGACATACATGTAGGCAAAACACCCGTGTGTGTGTGTGTGTGTGTGTGTGTGTGTGTGTGTGTGTGTGTGTGTGTGTGTGTATCTATGTATCTATGTATATGTATGTATATATATATATATATTATTTATGTATTTATTAGTTTAGTTTTTAAAAAATTAAAAGGACTCATAGATTGGTGCCTACCTCAGTTGTCATCAGAGAGGCTTCGTTAGTAACTGATGTACAGCCACCCACAGATAAACATTAGGCTGAGCTCAGGGAATCCTGCTGAAGAGAGGGAGGAAGGATTGTACAAGCCAGAGGCGTCAAGGACACCACAAGAAAACCCAGCTCATAGGAGCTCACAGAATCTGAACTGACAACCAGGGAGCCTGCATGGGACTGACATAAGCCCTCTCCATGTATGTGACAGTTGTGTAGTTTGGTCTCCTTGTGGGACTCCGTACAGTGGGAGCATGGGCTGTCCCTAAAGCTTTGGTTGGCTTTTGGGAAGCTATTCCTCATACTGGGTTGCCTTTCCCAGCCTTAGTACAAGAGGAGGTGTTTGGTCTTATACAACTTGGTATGTCGTGTTTTATTGATAAGCCGTGAGAGTCCTGTCCCTTTCTGAACAGACATAGAGGAGTAGATTGGGGGCTAAGGGGGAGGGATGGGAGGGGAGGAGGGAGGGGAACCTGCGGTCGGGATGCATTAATTAAAATAAATTTAATTAATAAAATAAAAAGGGAAACTGGTGTAGAGAGGTCCCGTCCCGGAGACTTTAGCTGTGCCGCTGTAGCAGGTTGGGAGACTGGGGCAGGCAGATGTGCCCTGTGCTGTCTGCCGCGGAGGGCTCGGGCTCGGGAGCGGAGCAGCCGGCTCACGCTGCACCTGTCTGTCCCGCAGCTGGCTCTGGCCAAAGCCTGTGCAGGTGGAAGCCAGCTTGGACTGGAGTGGAAAGCCTGCAGTGAAACGGTCTGCCAGCTCTTCCAGGCCTCCCAGGCTGTCAACAAGCAGCGAGTTTTCTCTGTGCAGAAGGGGCTCAGCGACACGATGAGGTGAGGCCGGTGGGAGCGCGTTTGCTCCGACGGGAGAGCAATAGCATTTTCACGTTTGGTGGGTGTGAGTGTGCGTGTGCGTTCACGTGTGCACACGAGACCCAAAGTTGATGTTGGGAATCTTCCGTTGCTCTTCTACCTTATTCAACAAGGCAGGGTCTCTCTCCCCCATCCCTCTAACTAACTAGTTATTCTAGCTAACTAACTAACCCCCGTCTAGCTAACTGTGTTATTCTGAAGGTCCCATCTCAGCTTCCAAAGCTGGAATTAACAGCTGGTCCACACACACCTGGCATTTTCATGGGTTCTGGGGATCCAAACGCTAATCGGCAAGCACTTCACAACCTCCCCAGCCCTGCTGTAGCCCAGGCTAACCCTGAACTTCTGGTTATCCTGCTTTGGCCTCCTGAGTACTTGGAGTATAGGTATGAGCCACTACAGCCCTTCTCTAAAGCTGAGAGCATGTGAAACTGTTCTAAATATTTTTCTAAAGTGATGAGACTCAGACTACCAGCTTCTGAAGCCAAAATATAACTTTTTTTTTTTTAAAATCATCAGTGTATTTTGTGGTACTCAGTGACTAGAAGTCGGACTTTGGGAGCTGTTGTCCCCCCACAACCCCATCCCTGCCGTCCCCTCCCCGAGGCAGCTACTGTGACACCCAGCACAACTGCCTTTCTTCCAGGCTCCAAACGTTAGTGATAACAAAATTGCAGAATGTTAGAGGGGAAAATGGAAAGTGGGAGTGATTTTTTTTTTTTTTAAGCTTTTATCTGAAATTTCATGTAAAGTTTGGATTTATGATTGGAAACCTCTGGCTCCTTGTAGGTACTTCTTGGAACATGATATATGCTCAGTAAAGGTTTTTTAAAAAGTGATTGTCTTGAGGCCAGGGAGATGGTCTCATTGAGTAATTTGCTTGCTCCACAAGCATGTGGACTTGAGTTTGATACCCAGCACTTGGAGAGGAGTGGGGAATAAAAATAGTAGCATGTGCTCATAGTCCTGGCACTGAGGAAGTGGGGATGGGTGGCTCCCTGAGATTCTGTGCCCAGCCACCCTAGTCTAATTTGGAGGTCCTGGGTACCAGTAAAAGATCCTGTCTCACGTTGATGCATGCCTTGAATCTCAGCACGCTTTTGGTTTTTCCAGGCAGGATTTCTCAGTGTAGCACTGGCTGTCCTGGAACTTGCCCTGTAGACCAGGCTGGCCTGGAAATCACAGAGATCTGCCTGCCTCAGGCTCCTGAGTGCTGGAATTAAAGGCGTGTGCCACCACCGCTTGGCCCCGGCATTCTTGATAGCTCAATAATCTGACTTCTAAAACAGATCACTGGGGCCGGCAGGATGGCTCATCAGGCAGAGGCGCTTGCTGCCAAAACTGAAAATGCAAGTTCAGTTCCTAGGCCCCACTCAGTGGAAGGAGAGAACCAATTCCTAAAAGTTGTCCTCTGTCTTCCAATACCACCTGTGATTATTTATGGTCTTGGTCTCCAGGTTTTAACTCCCTGGTAGAGAGGGACATTTCTGTCAGCCTTCTAGTGTCTGTGCGTCCATCCAGGGTGCTGGGTGAAGGAAGTAGGGAGACTTCAGTGTGGGGACGGAGTGGCTCTGGCTTTAAGTGGCGTTTCTGGCTCTTTGATCCTCTGCAGAGCATTGTTATCAGGGCCCAGACAGGAGGGCCTGATGGTCCAGGGTGCCTGACCCGTTTCTACTCCCAGGAGCTGTGCCCCATCCCCAGCCCTGCTGTGCAGCCCATTTGGTACCCACTGCCTGTTTGCACTAAGATTGGCCTCAGCCAGTGCTTTGGTGGCTGAGGGCTGACTTGGATTTGTGAACGCTGGGAATGTGCATGCTGAGTGAAGGGGGCGCAGGGTGCAGAGATGTGTGGCCTCACCGGCCTCCCAGGAGTAGCTCTGGGCCCCCCCAACTCCCCGGGACATGGAGTCTCTAGGTTGGTAAGTCGGTGACTCCAAAGTGATCAGTTCATTTGTTTAGACTGAACGGACTTGAGCAGAAATTGAAGGAGTGACATTGTTGTCCTAGTTCTCACAGGGGGCCCCTCTCTCCACAGATACATTCTAATCGACTGGTTGGTAGAAGTTGCCACAATGAAGGACTTCACAAGCCTGTGTCTCCACCTGACAGTGGAGTGTGTAGACCGGTACTTGAGGAGGAGGCTGGTACCCCGCTACAAGCTCCAGCTTCTGGGCATTGCCTGCATGGTCATCTGTACCCGGTGAGAAGCCCCTTGGTCAGGCTGGCAGGGTTGTGTGCATATGTGCTAGTCCCTCCTAGGCAGGGGCCACCATCCTCCCCTTTCTAGTAGCTGGTTTTTAAGGGAAATGAGTCTCAAGGGTCCCTGGTTCAGTTGTTATCCAATCCCAGTGTCCTTTGTAAGGGAGGATGGCCGAGATGACCCTTTGTAGGTTGACTGTACCTCTGCTGGGAGCCTGTATCCCCACACCGTCTCAGGACCCAGAGCATGGGGACCCAGAGCATGGTCCACACTTTCCCAGGATCCAAAGAGTGACAGTTGACAAGAAGGTTGATATTGTTCCACTCTTAGCCTCCTCCTCAGTCCTTGGGTTTTTCAGAACTGTGCCACTGGGTTGAATTCTCACATCTCTATCATCAGTTTCCCACAGTCCTGGGCAGGGGTGTCTCAAGGCCACCAATTCTCACATCTCTATCATCAGTTTCCCATAGTGTCCTGGGCAAGGGTATCTCAAGGCCACCACTGAAGCCCCATCAGAACCATTCCTCCACACGGAGGTCACTCAGAGGAGGGGTGCTCTAGAGGACTCTGACGTGTGACCCTTTGTATTTTGTCCCAAACTGCCTGTCCTCAGCCAGTGCTTCCTTTACCCCGGTTTTGCCTCTGGAAGTGATGTGGAAAGAGTTTTCAGAACGGTTTGCATTTTCTTTCTCCTAAACCGAATGTCCCCAGCGCGGTCTGGCATTTCCCCTAGGACGTGCGTTCCAGACTCTTTCTTTCCTTGTCTCCTGGGCCGCTGAGCACCAGTAGCGTGGCTGCACTGGCAGCTCACTGCTTCCTGTGCTCTGTCGAGAACTCCCTGGGTCTCTATTGCTGTGACAAAACACATGACCGAAAGCAACTGGGTGGGAAAGGGTTATTTCAGCTTACACTTCCAGGTAACAGTTCATCACTGAGGGAAGTCAGGGCAGGTGAGGACCACGCGGAGAGGCCAGGCATGGTGACACGGCACACCTTTAATCCCAGCACTCGGGAGGCAGAGGCAGGTGGATCTCTGTGAGTTTGAGGCTAGCCTGGACTACAGAGTGAGTTCTAGGACAACCATGGCTACACACACACACACACACACACACACACACACACACACACACACACACACACACACACACACACACCTGATACAGAGGCCATGGAGGAGTCCTGCTTACTAGCTTGCTTGTCATGACCTGCTCGGCCTGCTTTTTTTCTTTTTTTTTTTTTGTTTTGTTTTAGTTTTTTGTTTTGTTTTGTTTTGTTTTTTCTGGAGCTGAGGACGGAACCCAGGGCCTTGTGCTTGCTAGGCAAGCACTCTACCACTGAGCTAAATCCCCAACCCCTCGGCCTGCTTTTTTATAGCACCCAGGGACACCGGCCCAGGGGCCTCACCACTACAGTGAGCTGGGTCCTCCCATATCAATTATCAATCAAGAAATGCCCTAGAGACATGCCTGTAAACCAGTCTCCAGGAAGAGTCCTCCTTCCCAGATGACCCTGGCTTGTGTCAAGTTGACACATATCTGAACCTGCAGGCAGATTGCCCAAGGCTTCTGGGATGAGTTTTTGCTCTATGAAGACATGAAGGAGCTCTGGCTCACATCTTGTTCTCTTCTGAGCTCCATGAGTTATCCTTGTTTCTGTGGCCACCAAAGCTGCCGAGCTCACCTTCCATACCAGGTTAGTCATATGGACATACCTAACCACAGTGGACACTCTAGTACCTTTGGGTGTCCATATGCCAGCTAGAAGAAGCATGATCATACTACCACAGAAGGAGGACTCATGGACTTCAGGGATAGCAAACCGACCCTACCATACTCCAAGCCCCTTTCAAATAGGCTCCTTGACCTAAATCTCACACCCCAGGTCTTCTGACCAGTCACCAAATGGTGGGGCTGCTGTCTGCATGTCCCTGACAGCATAGTTACATCTTCACAGCCCTAGGACCACAGGCAAGCAGATAAATAACTACTTTAAAATGTCTTAAACTGGGGACTGGGCATGGTGGTACACACCTTTAATCCCAGCACTTGGGAGTTAGGGGCAGGCGTGTCTGGAACATGTGAAACCTTGGTCTAACCCCCTCCTGCCAGCAGGCTGAGGTGCCCTGGCTTAGCTCTCAGAGCCTCTGTTACCTCTGCTCCCCACTAGTCACCTCAGGGTCCAGTGCAGGGCTGGCATCAGCCCATTTACATCCCTCTTTTTAGTGCCCGTGGCCTTCTGCCTCCTGACCCCTCTGTTAGGCCACATGGCAATGACTCACACTGCAGAGTGCCAAGATTGAGCAACAATCCGAATTTGCTGGGGAGGTGCTTGTGGGACCACTGGAGCAGAGTGTTCTGGTAGTTAGCTTCCGTGGCCAGTAGAGAACAGGGTGCCCACTTGCCCCAGGGACAGTCAGGATTCCTGTGGACAAACACTGGGCTGTGTATAGACCTTCAAACAACCTCGAGGCTCTTTGCTTCCAGTTCCTGCTCCCACTAGCTCACCTGCTTTTGCGTTTACATTGTTTATACCCAGATACTGTTAAAAGATAAGACAGGAGCTGAAGATGGCGTTTAGGGCTCAAGCGTTTGTTTAGTGTCTGCGTTTGAACCACAGCATGACCAAACCAAACAAAAAAGCTCTCATCCATAAGGTGGTAAAGAGAACTAGAGATCTGAATTATAGTGTCACTCACGGGTGAATGAAAATGGGATAACCACTCCTGAGTATGGTGGAGGAGAAGGTTTGTATTGGAGGGAGAGAGGGAGAGAGGGAGAGAGAGAGAGAGAGAGAGAGAGAGAGAGAGAGAGAGAGAGAGAGAGAGAGAGAACACCAAGATGTGTAGCCGAAATGGCTGAGTTATGGAAGGATCAGAAGCTGGTGAGGGAGTGGGCCGTGGAGTGCTGGGAGGAACCATAAGTACTCAGTGAGACTTGTCCCCAGTTTCCTGTCTTGCTTTGACTCCCTCTTTGTGACACTTACTTGTAATGCTTCTCCTTAGTCAAAGGCAACTGAGTCCATTGAGCAGCCGCCTTTTGTCACCCAAGTCGGGAGCAGTCCCAAGGCGCCCTTACTTGAGGCCTCCAGGGCCTTCCTGAGCTGTAGCCCCTCACTCAGGGCTGAGACCCCATCTCTCCATTCCAGGTTCATCAGCAAAGAGATTCTGACCATTCGAGAGGCTGTGTGGCTCACAGACAACACATACAAGTATGAGGACTTGGTGCGAATGATGGGAGAGATCATCTCTGCCCTGGAAGGGAAGATTCGAGTAAGTCGGGGTTTGGTCCTTCCTTTGAACAAAATTGTCTTCCTGTTTGAGGTCACGGGGGTAGGTGGGGGGAGCTGCGGCCATCAGCTGCGGAGAGAACACCTAGAAGCATGGCACCTAGAAGCACGGCTGTGGTGTGTCATCATGTGCTCTGAAATCCTGAGCTTGGGCTGTGCCTCCGTGAGACATTGACGGATGAGACACGGTATTTACCTCCCTCTTCTGTCTAGGTCCCTACCGTGGTTGATTACAAAGAGGTCCTGCTGACACTGGTCCCAGTTGCAGCCAGAACCCAGCACCTGTGCAGCTTTCTCTGTGAGCTGTCCCTGCTGCACACCAGCCTGTCGATCTACGCCCCAGCCCGCCTGGCCTCTGCAGCCCTGCTCCTGGCCAGACTGATGCATGGACAGAGTAAGGAGACGCTCTCCTGGGGCGGGGGGGGGGGGGGCAGATTTCCCGGTGTCTGGGAAAGTTCTCAGATAGGAGAGGTTGGAAGGGCAGAAATAGACACCTCCTCATCCATCCTGGAGAAAGAACAGCAGAATGGCCCCAAAACATTTGGGAGAGGGGGCGATAAGATGGCTCTAGCTGTTTAAAAAGAAATTTTGTAATCTGTGACAACATGGATGAACTGGAAATTATGTTAAATTAAAGTAACCAGGCACAGAAAGATGTCACAAATTTTCACGTGTGGAATTAAAGCAAGCCAGTTCTGGGAGGCAGACAATAGAGTAGTGGTTTCTAGGGGATGCGTCATAAGTAAGAAGACCAGGGAGATAGCATATATTGTACATTTCCAAATTTCTACAAGGGTGAACTCTTGTTCTTTTGAGACAGAGTCTTAATATGTGGTGCATTCTGGCCTTGAACTCTCAATCCTCCTGAGTGCTGGGATATAGACATGAGTTCTCACAGTTGGCCAAGAGTAATTTTCAGATTTCCCATAGAGGTGATAAATAAATTAACTTGTTGATTTGATGATTCCATTTATTCATAAATAATAACATTACTGTATACCTATAATGTATATAACCATAATTTGTTATTTTATAATAAAAATAAAATTAAGACTTTAAAAATAAAAAAGATGGCTCTAGCTGGAGCAGTATATAGTTTTCGACAGTTTGTGGACCTTATATGGAACTTTTCAAGGATGTTTTAGTTGAGTTGTTTGGCTTTTCACATTTATATTTAACATTGCATATGTGTGCACACACAATGCCATGGCATGAGTGTGGCGGTCAGAGGATGCACCGCTTGCAGGACTTGGTCATCTCCTTCTACCATGTCATTAGGTCCAGGTCCTTAGGTTTGATGGCAAGTACCTTTGCCCACTGAGCCATTTTACTGGCCCTTAAAGGGTGTTTTGAAGGAACTGAAAGCCTGAGTCTGGGAGTGTGTTATAAAAGTAGCAGAGTTGTGGGGACTGTGGGGCCTGTCATGATTCTGGCCTGCTTTCTTCTCCAGTACAGCCCTGGACCTCTCACCTATGGGACCTCACCGGGTTCTCTTACAACGACCTCACGCCCTGCGTCTTGAGCCTTTATAAAAAATGGTGAGCCCAAGTCTATACTCGTTGTCTCTCAGCGCTGGAGAGAGCTAAGTGGGAATGTTGTGAGTCATGGTTAACCTGAGCTACTTGTCAGAGTTCCAGCTATTGTTGTTGTTGCTATTATTACAGGATGTGTGAGCACATGTGCCACAGTGGAGATCAAAGAACAACTTTCTCTTTCCACCCTTTTGTGGGCTCTAGGACTTGAACTCAGCTCATCAGCTTGTGCAGCAAGCATCTTCACCCTCTGAGCTGTCTTGTGAGCCCCAGGTTGGCGTTTTAAATCCCAGGCCCGGACTTATTTCTGTGTTCACATAGCACCTGTCTTCTTGAGGAAGAGGAAGCCAGCAGACAAGGAGCGCCCCCATCAGTCCTTGCCTGTGCCTGTCCGCTGTACCCACACATCTCAGCTAGATCCCACTGCTCTGCAGCCTCCCATCTGCATCTTCACCCTGTGAATGGGCCTTTACTCACCTCACGGGACCCTTTCTGGGTACTTAGAATAGGGCCAGAATAGGAAAAAAAGATTTCTTTAATGGAATCTCAAGTGTATACAAACCACACTTAAGCTTAGGCCCTGTGACCAGAGTAGAGGCCAACACAAAATGAGCTTCATGAGTTTTTTGTTTTGTTTTGTTTTGTTTTTTTCTCATATTGCTTGGGGAATTTTTTGTCTTACTGGTCTTTTGCTTATGTATTGTGGCTCTCAATTTTATGTTTTTATGGGTTTCGTTGTTTGTGTGTGTTTAGGATTTGTTTTTAAGTTTTGTGTTGTTAATTCTGGTTTGCTTGCTTTTCTAACATGTCTATTTGTCTTCTAAAGAGAGAGAAAGAAGGCTTGGAATCGGATGAGTGGGGGAGTGGGGAGAAGATGGGAAGGTCATGGGGAAACCATGATCAGAGTATATTGTATGTAAGAAAGAAGGACAAAGGCCAGACTAGAGTAGCACAGTCTGCGCAGGGTGTCAGCTAGGGACAATGTGTAGAAAAGGGGGAGTGGAGCTAGAGAGGTGGCTCAGTGGTTAAGAACATCGGATGATCTTCCGGAGGACCTGGGTTCAGTTCTTAGCACCCACTTGGAGGCTCATAACTATCTGTAACTCCATTTCTACAGGCCTCCCATGCCATCTTCTGGCGTGGTGCATAGACATGCGAACATGCAGGCGAAACACCTGTACATATACTCTAAGAGTAAATAAATCATTTTAAAGAATGAAACAGGGTGGGGAGAATGGATGGGGGATGTGGAACTGGTACATGGCTAAGGCCAGGGTGCCTTGAAGGAAGCACATCCATGTTCCAGGTTGGGGACATCTGTGCCAGGGCGGGTGCAGACAGACATTTGGGCTGCTGGCTGGAAGTGGAGTGTCGCCGGACATTGGGCTGGGTCTGCAGCTGCCTATGGCTGCTTCTCTGTCTTTTCCCAGCGTCACTTACAGACCTGCCCCTCCCACTTCTTGCTTGCTTTCTGCTTCCTTCCTCCGGGTCTTTCTCGGGGCTGCACTGCTCTCTGGCTCTCTATCCTCATCACCTCCACCCCGAGGAGCCAGGCAGTTCTGGCTTTCTTTCACGGCTCACAGTCCCTCCTTCAGGCATTTAACCACTTCAGTATTCACAGCTCACCCCAGCCCAGGCTACCCTACTTGCATGTCTGAGCTGCTGCCCACTGCTCTGACTGTGTGTTCCTCCCGTAGGTAGTATGGACTGCTTTTCCATACAACCTAGTGGTTTCTGGTCCAGTGCTCTTTCCTTGAGATCTGGCTTTCATGGTGACCTTGGTCACGCCTCGGGCTGCCTCCTTACAGCGTGTTCTTTCTGTTTGCCTCAGCCCAGAGCATCATTCTTGGCTTCCGGGGTAAGGTCAGAGCCCTCTAGAATCCACAATGCCTCTGACCAGCAATTCTGGTCCTGCCTCCCCATTGGGTTTCATTGGGACCTAACAGTGTAAAACTTTTGCCTACCCTGTTTTGTTCTATGGTACCCAGACCATGTAGTTACTGGCTGAGGAATCAGGGTGACTGTTACAGAGAGGGTCAGTGGCTCGGCCCTCCACCTTTTCTTTTTTTCTTTTTCTTTTTCTTTTCTTTTCTTTTTTGTTTTTTTTTTTTTT